CTAAGAGAATACGCCATCCCCTTTTCCTTATGAATCAGGGTGAAGTCTCTCTCAGGGAGGAGTGATAGGGAATGGCAAAGGACACAGTGACAAAGGAGATTTATCAGAACTGGCTTTGACAAGCACTGTGGTAATTGGACAATTAAAACAGACATTCAAGGGGGGGGAGAAGAACAAACTGGGGAGGAGGGTAGAGAAAACAGTGCAACAATGAAGGAATGAAAACCCAAAATCTCTGTAAATGTTCATTAAAACGAATAAAATTAAAAAAAATTAAAAAAGAAACCCAAAGGGTTTTGGAAAACCCCTCCATCTAATCCAAAGACACAGAAAAGAGACAGACTTCCAATCTCACCTCACTGCAGGAGGCTGTGAGTGTGTACAGGTGGGAAGCTGTGTGGGAGGACTACATAATGTCAAAGTGGTCATGAAAGAGACAGAGGGGTGAAGCAGCCTTAAAAGACAGCACCCTTAATCTCTGAAAACAAGGGACATGACTCTACCAGTCTCTACATTTTAAAATACAAAGATATTTCCCCAGATATTACTGATTGAATTAGTAGCAATTGGGAAGAGTAGGAGGATGCAGGGGGAAAAGTAAAAGAAAAAAAGCCCCCCAAAGAAAACCTTGACCACCAAACTAATATTACTGAACACAGTAAAGGGAGAGGGTACAACTTGTCTTAATCGTATAACTGTTTCCAGGTATTAGGACCATAGATAGCACAATTGCTTTCTAAGGGGCCCACGGGAACTTTGCCAAATAAATTCTAACGATTTCAACTAGTCTTCCTGTATCTTATATCCTGTTGGGGAATTTAAAGTTCTCATGTTGTCTTCTTAATACCAACACAGATGTTGCTGAGCCTGGTTAGCTCAAAGTGACTTCTTTGTTTTGGGCAATGATGATAACTATTACATAAACAACAAAGAGATAGCGAGAGAGAACATTAGCCACTGACTTGCTACATGGGGGCTGAGTGTTACCTGGCCCAGGCATCAGGCCAGGCTATAACAAGAGGCAGAGCTAAGGGGGGAGGCACGGTGAATAAGGGAAGAGGGGTTATTCCACAGACAGGTTCCTGCTTCTATCCCTAATGACCTAGTTCCTATGGGTCTGCCTTGGATTCTAAGACTACCTTATGACTTTCTCAGCTACATGACTCAATAAATTCTTAATCTTGTTTATGGAAAAATAGAGTCCAAACAATAGCAACTGTAAAGGCAGTTGCAGTCTCAGACACAGGGGGGAAGACATCGAAAAGCTAAAACTTGACTATAATTTAAGACTTAACTGCTGATTTTCTCATTATTTTTAAAACAGAATAGTGTTCATAAGGACATCAACTAGAACTCCTATTGAAATCAATAACTAAAAATAATTCATGGAGAAGCCAAGATACCCATAAGCAATTTTTTTAAACCTAATATTTTATTTTTTTTTTTAAACTTGCCTCTGGAAATTCTATGTATGAACAGTACTAAGGCCTTTCGTTCATAGGGTCACTATGAAGCATCTACGACTCGACGACACATAACAACAATAACAAAGACGACATAGAGAGAGCTATGCTGGCCTAGTGGACAGAAAGTTAGGCTACCAAGTTGAAGTTGGGTGACTGTAATCTGCAGCCCTCAGGCCGGGTTCAAATTGTTTTTCTGTCAAACATTCTTCTGGTGCTATAGCATTGGTCTGTGTATTGCTGTACAGAGGTAACTCATGGTTGCTGTGATGCTCAACACTGTGACCCTGATGTGTCAAATGTGATAATGGTTACCCATGATGGACAGTGTTTGCTGGAGCTTCCCGACTAAAACAAGCCTGG